TCACCGCATAAAACTTTCTGGATCCTTTCTATTTTTCGGCCATATAGTATATGATTTTATTTTTATTATATTTAGATTTTAAGTAGGGTTTGTTCTTGAATGAAGTGCGTTAGTGGTATTTGTGTGAGTAACAGTATACAAACACAAATTGATAAGAAACCGGTTTAGTATTTGATTAGCAAAGAATGAAGTGATTAGCAAAAAATCTAAAGTAATAAAAAGTAAGAATCATCCGAGCGCATCAAACCGGTATGATATGTCTTACTTTGGCACACTCACATTTGTAAATAAACATGTATTATCAATATTTGTATTGACACATATTTGTATGTGTATAAAATGTACATTTGCAAAATGCAAATTTGATCAAAACTCAATTTTTTGTGGATCATCAACAACCATGGCATTATGATAAAACAAATCAAAGCGGACGGCAGTTCGCGCGAGTGACGAAACCGTATTATTGTGGTGAAAAGTCGACTCTCTTTTCACTGTCAATATGGACTACTGACGCATTGCAACGTTCACAGTACACAGAAAACTTATTAAGTGATATCAGAAATTTTGTGTTTCAAATTTTGGTCTCGTCACTCGTTCTTCACCTCGATAGAGGTTTTTTATTTGATTGCGCAACAGATGCTCATACTAAAATCAGTCATGTCTTAGCTATACACTGGTTTGGATCGATTTGGTAAACAACAAAGCCCGATTTAAATTCGACTTCGGATCTTTTTCGCATTTGCTCGTTTACCTTGAGATAGCTTGAGATCTTACAAAAAGCTCTAGTTTGAAAGTTTTCAATTTTAAAAGAATTTCAAAAAGTAAATCATTCACTTTTCGTCAGTTTTATTGACAATCATGCTAAAACTTGTAATTTTCATTACATTTTTCGTCATTGTGCGATCTCAGTCAATGACTGAAGAAACATCTTCACCGTACGCAAACTCAGAGAATAAACAATCATTGGATGAATTGATATCTGAACCGAAAAGTGATAATGATAATAATCGTGTCATTGGAGACAATACCCAGATTAACGGTCAAAATATCGATGTCAAAAGTAATAGTCAACAAGGAAGCGGTGGAACTCAAAATCCGGAGTCGTCAAATTCGTCAAAAAATGTAAGTATTCGTGCCATTTGAGAAGTTCCATTCGAGCAGTGAATGAGTCTTTGATGTCATTGCATAGCCCTGTGATGTTGGCGAGTGTATGCCATTCGATGAATGCGTCAATGGAACCTTAGAAGATCAATCGGACGCCCGTAGTGCTCAAGTGGAAAATTCCAAACCATGTGGTGGTTTGTTTCGCATATGTTGTTCAGAGCGTGCAAATAAAACTGTCGTCCCACAGATAAATCTTGGCTGTGGCATTCGGAATGTAGATGGTGTTGGTTTTCGTACCCCAAGCAGTCTAGGCAATGTGGCTCAATTCGGTGAGTATTTAAATTCGGCAAATAAAGCGAGAACGAATGATTGACGAATTATTTACCATGATGATTTAGGCGAATTTCCGTGGACTGTTGCCATTTTAAAAGAGGAAAAAGCATTAGACGAACAAATTTTTAATGTTTATGTTTGCGGTGGTTCTTTGATCGATCCGGGTGTCGTTCTAACTGCTGCACATTGTGTCGACCAGAAAGATCCGAAAATTTTGAAAATTCGTGCCGGCGAATGGGATACACAAACAAAAGATGAACCGTATCCCCATCAGGATCGTGCTGTCCGCGACTATGTCATTCATCCGGAATATCATCACGGTACCTTGTTCAACGATATTGCATTGCTGTTTCTCATACAACCAGTTGAAATTGCTGAAAATGTAAATACTGTTTGTTTACCTAATGCCGATGATATTTTCGATAACGCTCGTTGCTTTGCATCGGCTTGGGGACAAGGTATGCGGTTAAATTGATTAATAAATGTGGTGAAATGCAAATTTTGTATTAATTTGCAGATAGATTTGGTAAAGAGGGCAAATATTCAGTAATTTTGAAAAGAGACGAACTACCAATCGTGCCGCGGGAAACATGTGTTCAGAAATTGAGAGAGACACGACTTGGCCGACATTTTCAATTGCACTCCAGCTTCATTTGTGCCGGTAAAAAAATTCAACGGTTTTTAAAAGAATCACAAAGAGAGAGTAGAGGTTTCATTTTTAAAGTTTGAATTTCCAGGTGGCGAACGCGGTGATACTTGTAAAGGTGAGTTTTAAATTGTTAATTTCAATTTTATGTGAATGTTCATGAATGTGTTCGTCAGGCGATGGTGGCAGTGCACTCGTTTGTCCTATTCCAAATGCACCGCATCGATATGTACAAACAGGCAAGTGTTATACAGATTTTATGGCATACATGAATTTTTGTATATATTTCACCTTGACCACATAGGAATCGTGGCTTGGGGCATTGGATGTGGTAATTCAACGCCAGGCGTCTATGCAAATGTACAAATGTTCCGGAACTGGGTGGATAAACAGATGGAATTGAATCATTTGACCATAAAGTCTTATTTATACCGCTGATAAAATAGCACAAGGAACTAATAGAGTTCGACTATCAACTGTTTCTCTTTTTGTATTCAAATCAGTGTTTTTGCAGCAAATATATTTTGTCATTGATCTTTCTAATCTATTTTTAACTTTTAAACACGTTTTATTTAATAAGAAAAATGACTTTTTTTCTGTATTATATAGAAATATAGAAAAATAGAAAAAATCAACACAAAAATGCGCAATATTAGCTCGTTCAGCGTTGATCAAAATTCACAAAAAAATAACATAATAGTATAGCTCTTGAAGCCAGAAAGAGAGAATATAAATGAAATGCAATGACTGCAATTCATAAAAAACAGTTGTGAACATGTATGAATGCTAAGAGTGTTTTGTTGACTCGAATTTGATCGAATTTCTTTCCAAAATGTATGCTTGCAGTAACTTAATCACAATTAAAACGTGTGGATCTTATTTCTCATCAAAATACATAATTTCACCAAATTTGAAGAAATTTCAATCACAAATAGAAGTACTCCCCATACAAAATTTTCTTCAGTAGGGAGGTATCTTCAATTTGTATTAAAATTGTCTCAAAAAATCACATTTTTGGTGATTTTTTCTTTCCGTACAAAAAACTTGACTGCTCTTAGACAATATAATTCGGTAGTTAGTGAATTAGTACTGCACTACCAGTTCGGTGAAGGAAGAAATTTGGAAACAGTGCGGAAAAGTTAAACTTACGGATGTAAGTTCCTTTTTATTATAATAGAGTATAGTACAGG